CAGCGAGCGCGGGAAAGAGAAAACACGCTGGTGGTTGAGACCTGTTGCGAACGAAACGCCGAATCCTGGCTGACTATGTGCCAGGCGTGACTCCTACTCGCGCCTGTACGTTCAACAGGGTGGTACCACGCTGCCGGAAAATCCGATAATATTCTGTGAGTAGTTTCTCGTGCGGTTTGAAGTTTTCGTGAGTGCGTCTGTTGAGAAAACGTCTTCCTCTTGATTATCTATTTATATTGTAGAAGAGGTAATTGCGGTTTCTTTTACCGAAAATCACATCTCTAATATAACAATCGTACAATTAACTAACGCAATTAATTACCTGCGATTTCAAAATCATTTGAGTATTTTTGTCATGTTTCATAAATCGAATTATCACGGATATAGTCTTTCTATATTAAGTTACATAACTATATACATTGTGTAATGCAATTTAGTACTCGATAGCTAGATAACTTCCTATAACCGTTTTTCGTGGATAGATTCTTGCGAATATATAATTATTCTCTTTCCTGAGATTGATAATCGATAATCGGTCTATATAAAGATTAAACCACACGTTCGGACGGCAATCAATATATGACTGTCTGATTTTCATCAATATCGAGAATGAACTTAGCAACAGAAAAACAATAGGCCAGATATTTAGAATAGTGTCAAAAACCGCGAATTTATAAAAAAAATATATAAATGTGGTGTTCAAGTGAGAAATAGATCATCCATCGAAATTTGAAATTGGAAAAGGAGATTGGCGCCGGCGTCTCCGTTATCGGTACGAGAAGCTACGAGAAGAATTAGGCGCCGCGCGTGCAATTTCCCGTACAGGGAAGGGTGGCGAAATCAGGCTCGCGAGACAGGCTCTACGACCTCCTCCTCCTCTTCCTCCTTCTCCTCCTCTTCAGTCCACCCTTCCACGTCGGCGACGTTTACCCCTCGTTCGGCGTCGCCGAGGGGTAGCAGGCGGGCATCGTCAGACGCGCAGAGAATACTGCACAAGCTGCGTGCCTTGACCACAGACAACCGAGCGATCCCGGCCGCCGCCCGAAACCTTCTTTTCTTCTTCTTACGACTATCCGTCCTCCTTTCCCACCTGCCCCCTTTTTCATCCTCTCCCGCCGTCACCGTCTCCCACCAACCCTCTTCCATCCCGACTTCCCCTTCTTTGCCTTTCGGTTAGTCCGTCAAGGGGCGAGCTCCGGTACTCGCGGAAGGCACGTTTCCGCACGCGTCGGTGTTGCGTGCACTCGCCGTTACGCTACTTCCTCCACTTTTGTGACCTCTCCCGCTTCGCACCCTCCGTCTCTTTGGCCCCGATTCCCCTCTCTGTCCGCTGCGCGCCCTCCATGGTTCTCTCCCTTCTTCCTCCACCGTCATCATCCGCCGCCACCTCTCGTTCGCGTCGCTCCTCATTTTGGAACGCAGCTGCCGCTGGTGGTCGAGAAATTTTCGCGAATCCTTCCTCGAGACACCCTCCCTTCCGCTCTCGCCATCCTCCTCGCCCCTTCGACCTACCTTCTACTCCTTCTTTATTTCTCTCGTATTTCATCTTCGTCTTCCGTAGCGAAAAGGTCCTAAAAAGAGAGACCGACAGTGGAAGTTCGACGGAAAGTGGAGGAGGCGAGCGGGGCGGATGAGGGTGCAGAGGCGACACGAGTTGCATGTATGCGTCGCGTTCCTCTGCCTCTCCTCTCGAGACTTCCACGATCTTGGAGGATCGACCAGTGCGCGTTCGGAAAAAGGTGACGGAGGGTGGAACCGGCTTTCAAAATCTCGGTAGTGTTCCAAATGGTTCGCGCAAGTGTACGCATTGTATTATCAGTTAACGACGGCTACTGGGACGGCACGTCACGACGCGTCACAGCGAAGGATGAGACGAAAGTGTTCGGAAAGAAAGATGACGAGTGAATGGCCATCGAAGTAGATAAGCGACACCGGTAGGCACAGCTTATGTGGTCAAGGCACGGCAAAAGGTGTCAGTTGTGTCTTCAGTGAGTGAATTCTAAAGGTGGTGTCTTCAGAAAAGAGGTTGTCATCCTTTTATACAATTTACAAGGACAGCTTCCAAAGTTTAGGAAACTGTTACTCCGCCGAGGCGGCAGGACTCCTCGCCCTTCGAAGGAGTTAGTTACACCTGTTACGCGCACGTCGCTCACCGGCCGGTGATCGGTCTCGGTGCTCCGAAGTTTCGATATCGCGAGTGCCGAGCGAAGCGCGACGAGAGACGCGCGGTAATCGTCACGCATAGCGTAATCCCCGTCGTCGGCTTGCACGCACGTAATCGCGCGATATCCATCGCCGGCTGCCGGCGAGAGGACATGGAATTGGACGTAATGAAGCCTCTTCCCCCGCGCTGTCCCGCCTTTCGTGGTACCGAAGAACCGAGGGCCAACGGGGAGTCGCGATCTCGCGAGGGCACCGTGCGCCGCGAGTGTCGGCAGTAACGATGTCTGGATTGCATTATTGCGCCGTCACGACGTGGACGCCGTACGACTGCACGACAGAGGCGGATTCGGCAGACGTGAAAACGCGGAAGTGGATCGGCGTAGTATAGGTAAAGGGATCTCCGTTGTGGAACGCAGTTGCGAGGCAACGGCGTGACGCGTGTGCACGTGCGCGATTAGACGAGACAGAGGCCACTGCTTAGAGGAACGAGTCGCGCTCTTACGATTTTGAATCTTTACTAGTGATAGCTGTTGAAATTATCGCTCTTTGTTTAGAAAGAATGTCATGGATCAGTATTCATAATCGGTTTTTATTTTAAGACCGTCTTAAGTAATGTTTTAAGATGTTAATACAGCTCTCTGATTGGTTCATGATATTTTAACAGTCTTAAATATAAGAAGATCGACTATGAATACCGGCCATAGTTTTGTTTTCTTTGGTTAGACTATATTAAATTGAATAATGACTTGTGTTTCTTCGAAATCGATTGTGTTATTGCGGTTTTTATTCTTTTTTTTTTTTTTACAAAGAAGAAAAAGCTAATATGTCGATCAGCACGATCTGCTTCAGTGAGGACGAATTATTATAATTTAATAAAGCCTAATCGAAAAAAAAAAACAGCTATAACGTTTTTTTTTCTAAATAAAGAGTGATAATTTCAGCTCCTATCACTAGTAAAGATTTAAGACTGTAAGACTTTATTACTATAACGTCTTTACAAAGAGAAGAATATAGAGTGTAACCTCAAAGAATGCGGCTAGAAAGAAAATTTCGCGTATCAGTGATTATCATAAGTGAGAAGCTATCAGAGTATGTGTAAGAAATAAATGATGTATAAAGAGTTCTATCAAGTAAGGCTAGGATCAAATGTCACTTCCGAGTCATCAAAATGATCGCGTTAATTTGTTTGATGTTAAGAAAAGTGAAGGCCCATCTATTTAGCATACTTACCTTTTATTCATGCAAAGCATGAATTATGCGGGTATGCACTCCACTGTTACACACGTATCCGGTAATATTTCATTGTCTAGTAGAAGATTTATAGAGGATCTATAGCTTTGTGAAAGATGTAATATTAATAGTTCTTTAGAGAGCTGAGAATGTATAAAGACCACTAAAGCGTGACATCCATCTCTAAAACTTGAACCGATCAAGCAGTTAAGATTGTACAGGACATCACTTCCGATTAGTCCGATTACTTCCCGTAATAATTCGTGCCGGAGAGAAATTATAAATGAAAACCGAACACAAACTTGGGAAGCAATATATTTTGACGTGTTACGTATCATCCCTTTTCTTATTGTTCAGTCGCATCCGTTCCCTTTCCGAAAAGGTTCGGCAAGCAGGGCAAGGCAACGCAATGCAAGGCAAGGCAAGGCAGGCGCGAGCAAGGGGGCGGTAGATGGGCGCAGTTACTGCTGATCGTTAAAAGGCACATAAAAAAGGGAGAGGAGAAGGCGTTGGGTGGATGGGAGTGGGTGACGGGAGGTCAGAGGAAGCGGCGCGAGAAGTAACAATAAAAATTCGTCGGCGTTCGTGTTTCGTCGCCGTGGTAGGAGCGTAGGGACGTAAGGAGAGCGAAGTGAGGAGTACGTCGGGGGTTAAACCGAGGCAGAAGAGAAAGCGAGAGAGAAAGAGGGAAAGGGAGAGAAAAGGGTGGTTGGGTAGTCGGTGGAGCAGGGTGCGTAATGAAACGATATTGAGTAGCCGTGGTAGGGAGGGTCGTTGCAAGAGGGTGGGGGTCGTCTTCAGCCCTCTCCGTCGATTGACCTCGCTTCGACGAGATGAGGGTGGGAGCAAGCCAGGGGCGGAAGTTGGTAGGGCACGGTGGGAACCAAGCGCCGCGAGCTGCTTGGGGATCGTAGGAGGAAGGGGGTCCGTTAAATTGACGAAAATGACACATCTTCTCTACGTCCGTTTCCCTCTCGTCTCTCGCTTACCCCGTTACTTCGCTTT